TTTCAATATCCACAACCAGAAAAAGTCACCATTAATTTTCACTTCAAAGCCCTTTTCTGTGAGTGTTAATGGAATTTAGGATGGCATTAAAGGTCATGAATTTGCTTTTATGTCTTTTAATACTTTATCTGGTGTGCTAAGCATCCTAAGTACCCACTAAGTTATACATTGAGTTGAGAACAATTTCATTGGCTTGTTCAGGGACTGAGCTACCCACTAGTTAACTCATCCATTTGCAAAATAAGCAATGTGCATATTTTACAAGTGGAAAAAAATACATTTTAAAGATAATAATTGTTAATTTCACACATCTTATATTTAGGCAAGACGATAGGCTAATAATCAGCCCCTCAACACACTATATTTTTCAACATAAGGAAGAAAAAAAGAGAGAAGTCAAAAGTTCACAGCTGTGGTTAGGAGAAAAAGTTGAAGAAGATTCCCATGACTATCAGTATTGGACATATGAGTCAGGGGCTAATATTTGAGTCCTGGGGGCGGGGAGATCTGTATGACTATGTGTTTAGAGGAGAATCTAGATTTGGCCTCATTGTATAAATCCCAGAACTTTAGAAACTGAACTGTCTGTGGACTCACACTAGAAATGTTCTGACCAGTGGACAAGATGGAGGATGAGCTAACCAAGGAGGAGCTGGAGGCAGAATTGCCAAAGGTAAATGAATGTTCTGGAGTGACAAAGGGAACACTTTGAAGTAATGGGCCCTTGTGAATATGATTTTGAAGGCATAAAAATTCCTGAGTTGGAATCCTTGCAAAAGTGGACCTGGTTCTGGTTCTGATTAACCCCACAGGTGTCCATGTTCTCTAGTATATCGGTGCACAACCAGGAATCCCACAACAAAGAACTCTACTGAGTATGGAAAACCATGTGAAAGGTTGCCTTGTGATCTAATCAGTCACTGAACAAAGAAAAGATTTATGCCCAAAGAAGAGCTCTCAATCAGGAATGTCTTAAAAAGTTGAAAGAAACAAAGTCAGGAAAGGAAAGTATCATGTAAGAATAAGGCAAATTTCAAAAAAAGAAAATATACATTCTAGGAAAGAACAGAGGGGGAATTAAAATTCAAAGAGGGGGAAATTCAACTAATTAGCTTAATATTTGATTACCAAAGCCAACAAAGAGTGTCATTCAGAATACAGAAGAGGATAGGAAATAAGTAGTAGAATAGTAGAATCTAAGAGAAATGGAAGTTAAACCATGAAATTCTAACTCCTACATGCACGGGACTGAGAAGGATTGTTATATATTCACTATCTTGTACCAGTTGTTAACAATTTTGATTTCAAAGTTGCAATAGCCTCATAAAATGTGTTGGGAAGTTCTCCTCTCCCTCTGCTCTGGATTATCCTACATTCGTCAGGGGCTATCTCTTTTTTTAACACTGGGTAACATGTCTGTTGTTAACCACATGGAACAGGGAAGAAGCAGCATGTACTTGGTGGTGGATTGGCATGTCAATTATAAACTGAAATTATTTGATTGTAACTTTCTAGGATTTTCATTTCTTCTTGAGTCAATTTTCATACTGACAGTTTGCACTAAAACTATTTTTTTCAGCCATTGGCAGCAAAGCAATTCACTTTTAAATGTGCATTTTATAAAATCCTGTACTTGTTAATGATATTTTAAAAAGTAAGTAACCAAGGACTTGAAATGGACAGTCAGCAAGCCCCACACCTAATATGGAAACATATCTCACAGTTTCCAGGGAGAGAGAGAGAATGAGACAAGGATGCTTATAATTGCCAAGTTATTTTACATTGTTTGGGAGAACATGTTCATTGTATCTAGGCAAGAAGGTGAGAAAAATTCATTAATAGTTTGAAAGATATAAAATAAAAATTTTAATATTTTCCAGCTTGCATGATTGTGCAGATAAAAGCCATCAAAAGCATGGGACAGTGAAGAGTGTCCTGGTTGCTCACCAAGAGATATGTGTGGCTGTCCCCAGGCTGAGGATCCACAGGGAATTGGGAGCTCAGGTGATCTCATAGCAAAAGAGAACTCAGAGTTTTTTCTCATGAGTGCTGAGGAACTGAAGAAGGCCATGTGACCCCAGACTCCCAACAGGTACACCTGTGTTTCCTGAGAAAATGCAGAGACACCAGAGTTCTCCCCATTGTAAATACAGCTCAAGAGCTCTTGTTCTCAGGCATCTCTCCTCAGAGAACACATTCTCTCCAAATTAAAAAAAAAAATGTCTTAGAAAGAATTTTGGGGTCAACTTCATCATGTTCTTTTTAGGATTTTGACCTTTGGGAGTCTGACATTTGGGCTTGGGTTTTGAGATGATGACTGACCCTCAATTTTGAATAAATGATGTTGACAAAACAGTCTATTGAAACTAGACCCTTATCTTACCACTCACAAAACATAACTCAAGATGGATTAAAGCCTTAATGTAAGACCTGAAACTAAAATCCCCTGAAGAGAGCACAAGAGAAAGGCAACCTTACACCAATCTCAGCAATCACCTTCTACCCATATCCACATAACCATAAGCTGTTGGCGGCGGTTAGAACCTTTCTTGGGCTGAACAGACGGTGAGGGGGAAATTGATGTCCAAATGACTTAGGAAGAATGTACCATAAGTAAGACACGAAGGAGCAAACAACAAAAGCACAGTCACACAGGATGATATCAAACCAAAGTGTTTCTGGGCAACAAGGGAAACATCAGCTAAATGAAAAGACCACCTGTGGAATGGATGAGATGTTTGCAAACTGCCAAGGAGGGGATCAGTTAAGATGCAAAATATATAAGGAATTCATGCAACTCAGTAGCAAACACAGCCCCATTAAAAAATAACCTGACCGAAAAATAGGCAAAAGACCTGAGTGGACATTTTTTAAAAGAAAATATACAGAGAGCCAACAGGAAGAGGAGCCTGCATCACTCATTGTTAGGGAAATGCAAGTCAAACCACAATGAGAAACGATTAGAATAACTATTATCCAAAAGACAGAGAGGAGTGCTAGCAAGCTTGTGCAGAAAAGGGAACTGTTGTTGGAAATGTAAATTGGCGCAGTCTGTATGGAAAACAGTATGGAAGTTCCTCAAAAAATTAAAAGTAGAAGTAGACATTTCAGCAGGGAGCTGTGCCAGGTGTGCGTCCATGCAAAGCCCTAGCCTAAAGGGCCTGTGGACCTCTACTCAGTGCCCTTCCCGTGGTGAGGCTCTTGCTTTAGGCAGTGGCCAGGACGTTCCACGAGAAAGTCCAGCTGTCCGAGGCATCCATAGACCCGAACAATCTTTCAGAAGAAAGTGTGAGCATTGTTTTGCTTGCCTCAGCCTCCATCAGTAACAAGATGGTGAATTCTGCCTCTTTGCTGAAACGGCCTTTGTCTCAGGTTCTAGAAAAGGGCCATGACTTAGAGTGGACAGGTAAATACATTGGTGGGACAGGCAACGCCCAAGGAAGCATCACTGAAGAAAACAAAATCAGAACAAAATTTCTGGGCCAGGCACTAATGGTGATCCACCCAGACCCCCTTAGGTCCTTGTTCTGTTTTGGGGTACCTATGTCTCACTGTCATGTTGCTTTGTTAGGTCTCGTCTGAGACTCTACGTTGGGTTTCTAGCTGCTTTTCCTAAAGGAGCCCATGGTTTGCATTTTCCTTCTCCCCCCACCCCCATGCAGCCTTGGTTAAATGACTAGAGACCAACGTTGAGGTGTGATTTACACTTCAGAAGTCCCCTGTGGAATGGGCTGAGGCTAGAACTTTGCTTATGTTCATGTTTGTTGTTTCGCTTCTTTCTCTTCCCTATTCTGCTCCCATCACACCCTTACCGTCTTACTCTGTGGCAAATTCTTCCAACGTCATTTGGACATCAATTTCCCTCTCACAGTCTGCTCAGCCCAAGAAAGGTTCTAACCCCCACAAACAGCTTACACTTCTGTGGATATGGATAGAATAGTGTTACTCGGTATTCAGCCACCAGTAGTGGCATCTACCAAGTGAAAGCCCTCACACTGCGTTATAGAGATAAGATGCTTAATTGTCCCTCAAGGAATATCCAGCCTAGTCAAAAACACCGAAAAGGAACATGAATAATCAGATCATAAAGTTCCTGGGAGGACCTCCAGGGTCTTTATGGCCCAAAGGGTGGACACTGCCCACCCTCCATTTCCCTTTCCAATTTTCCTCAGAAGTGAATCAGCCAGGAAATAAGATAAAAACTCTATGACACTGGAAAATAGAGACAGTTCAGACCACAAGGCTGAAGCCACAGCGGAGGGAAGAGAGAGACAATAGTCAGTATCACAGTATCTGTTGGGTAATTTTCCAGAATGGAGAACAGGAACAGAGCTCAGAGGCGAGTGTCTGAACTCAGCAGGGTAAGATCCATGCACATGGTGTTAGACACTTGCACACAGATAGTTGGGGTGGTGTGGAGGGGTAAGGAAGAAGAGTCTCCTTACAGAAGGAAGTACAGCCCCCACCACCACCACCACCACCATCTGCAGGCCCACGAGCTAACAAACTCAGCCTCCATCAAGGGGATGATTAGGTAGAGAGGTTTCCTGGCCATAGAAACATTTTCGGGAGGTTAAATAAGGGACTCAAGTCCAGTATTCAGAGCAAATGGGGACAGAACAACAGACTTCCTGTGAGAAAGAAGAAGACACCTGCAAGAGCAAATAAAAAGGCGTAAACCTACCCTGTCTTCCCATGCTTCCCCTTCTTGGTTCAAAGGTGGTAAATGTGGGCATTGGGCCTCACCCTTGACAATCCTCGAGCAGAACCGTGGTATTTTTAAATGTATAGTGAACGTGAGATGACTAGAAATAGGGCTAGTAACTTCCAAATCAGCATGGTAAAAACCAGACAGGAAATAGCGAAGAAACACACTCAACAGCAGGTGTGAAACAAGATGGCGGGAATTGGGCTGTGTCTGTTTTATGAAAAATGTGGTGGGTTATGAAAGCAGTTTACAAAAGGGTTTAAAAGTGCAAATGAGGCGGAGCCTTGGGCGCCGTGCACCGCAGCTTGTGGCGTCAAAGCGCTCGCCGTGTCCATGGAGAGAGGCTCAAGCGGCCAAGCTCCAGCCTGAGGCCCAGGGGCTCTGGGACGGCGAGGATGTCGGCTTCGCTCGTCCGGGCCACTGTCCGGGCAGTGAGTAAGAGGAAGCTACAGCCCACCCGGGCTGCCCTCACGCTGACACCTTCAGCAGTAAACAAGATAAAACAGCTTCTTAAAGATAAGCCTGAAAACGTGGGTGTAAAAGTTGGTGTACGAACCAGGGGCTGTAATGGTCTTTCTTATACTCTGGAATACACAAAGACAAAAGGAGATTCTGATGAAGAAGTTGTTCAAGATGGAGTCAGAGTGTTCATCGAAAAGAAAGCACAGCTAACACTTTTAGGAACAGAAATGGACTATGTTGAAGACAAATTATCCAGTGAGTTTGTGTTCAATAACCCAAACATCAAAGGAACATGTGGCTGTGGAGAAAGCTTTAACATTTGACTCCCTGACTGCTCTACTGTAAGTCCCAGGAAGGTGGAAGCCCTGGGACTTAATGAAGAATTCATGTGGCTGTCACATGCGTAAAGTTTATAATGTATGGCTGCCTTTTAAGGAAAATAAAGTGATGCATTTTGAAAATGAAGCCAGTGTGTTAGATTCCAGAAAAAGTGATTTTTTTAATTGTTTTGGAGGACAGAAACAGACACCATTGCTCTTTGGGGGTCATTTTTCGTATTCTGCCCTTTACTTAACTCTCTGATATTCTTCCTGTCAGTGCCAGTTTAGTGAATGTTGCTTTCCTGGAAGAATTTTAGGAAATTATTTGATTCTTACTAGGTATGTACTTACTGGCTCTGAATGGCTTGAATGTGCATCTTGCTAGAAGACTGGTGCGACAAGATGGCACATTGTCTTTTTACCCAAACGTAGCATGGGCTTTCTATGGTTTTTAATCCAGAATTTCATTGTCAGACGCTTCATTTGCTCAGCCTTTAGGAGTACCGCCATTAGATGAAAGTTTAGGATACTATCTTGGAAATGTGGTGTGTCACAGAGCTGAGTGAAGGGATCAGAGGTAAATATTTCACCCACCTGTTACTTAATCCATTTCTTTTGCCATCCTGCAATTCCACTCAGAGATAGGATCTTAAACTGACTTGGATTCTTATTATGGGAAGGGCTATTAAAGCCATCTGTCCACCCTTCAGTTTTATATCTGGGGAGCCAATACCTCAGGAAAGCTGAAGGGTTTTTGTCCACCCTCACCTTGCAGGCTTGGGGAGGGGCAGAGCTCAGAGCTGCACATCTCCCCTTCCTTGTGGGTGACAGGTGAGCTCAGAGGCAGTCAGGAGCAGTAAACCGGTGGTCTCACTTCCTCGTCCAGCCTGCTTTTTAGTAAGGTTTCTTTGTAAATTAAGGGAGATCATATTTAGTTTTGTTTATTTTCAGTGAGAATCTTACTTTAAAACCCACTTATGCAAACTACTGTCTTGTTTCTTTAAAACTATGAAAGAGTAGTTTCTACTAGCAGGGAGGAATTAGAGAAGAACCCAGAATTACTCGTTTGGAATATAGTAGTAATGGTAAAACAGAACATGGGGGTCTTTTCTTAAAAATTCCAATGTTTGCACACTTTCTAAATATAATCACTAAAATTTTTAATCCTAATATTTTAACTTGACATTTTTTATCACCAACTTTTCTTTAATGATATTCATTTTGTCATTTAGTTACTGATTTTCCTGGATTTAACTATTCTATGAGATGGCATACATGCTGTTTTGGAAGCTGATTCTCATGAATTGAAGTAACTTGAATTCCTTTGACATATTTACTTAAGTACCTGGCACAGAATGCACCACAGCCTGAAGCAGTTGCTTTACATAAATGCTCCTGACTTTGTATCATTAACTTAATTGTCAATCCACTTATAATTTGTGCAATACTGTATGTGTGTAAATATTTGAGTTGTCAATAAAAAAAATCCCTATTTGTGATCATAAAAAAAAAAAGTGCAAATGAAATATAAGTTGTAGTGGTCACATTGTAAAAGTGCAATGGAATTCAAAGTGTGAATGGGATACTACAAAGTATTGAAATGCATACTTCTCAAGGAATATAGAGTTCTCCCTTAGAAAGATCTTTAACAAAATTTTCTCAGAATTTACTATAACAGGTAGACAATAAATAACCCGATAAATTATTCATCCAACAAACTTTAAATCCTACAGGATATTGATCATGTAAATCTCCATAAAGAAAGAAAGAACTCCCCACAGGATTTACAGACCATATTTAATAACCACATAGCAGCAAAAGCAGTACGAAAAATTCAAATTTAAAGAAATTAAAATATCGCTCTTTTAAATAATATTTGTTTCAAGAAAAAAATAAAATGATATTTTAGATTATGAGTAAATTATGAATTAACTACAGCAAAACAAAACCTATAAACTTGTGCATCAAAAGGAAATCCATAATTTAAAGGTCTTTCATAATCAAATATGAAAGACTAAGAATCTTAGCTCAAGAAACTAAGTACAGGAAAACCCAACATGCTGGCAATAAGTTCATAAAGATAAAATAATAAAGATAAAATCAAAAGAATACAAAGCTAAACAAATACATCATTAATATTTGTTAATAGCTGAGTCAGTGGAAGAAACCAATAAAGTGGCAATCCTATACCTGGGAAAAGAGACCAAGAAGAATTTATAAGCAACAGAAACTATGAGTGCAGGAGAGCAAGTTTCTCTCAAATTAGCATGTTTGTGTTCTTTGGGTGGACACCCAATTTTTTAAAGGAGACATTAAATTGACAGGAGCATTCCGTGTTTAACAAAATGCCAATGAATTTAAAAATCTCTCTTATTTTAATAAAAGTACATGTTATCAAAACTGACTTAGGAAGAATGGACTGATAACTGAAAAATTCATTCACTTAAAACCAGTCCCATACACGCACAAGTGCAAAATAAGTTTTAAAGTAAAATGTTACAGAGAAATAGTTGTTATGTTTTGAAAGCCCAGAAAGAGTTGTGCATTTCCCAATTATTTTTACAGCTGAATGCTAATACCAAAATGTTATAAAAACACTCAAAAGTAAAACCACGGATCTAATACATTTGAAAAAAAAATGTGTATCTATGAGCAAATGGCATGCCTCAAATCAAATCCATGATTTCACAATTTAAAAACAAGACTGCTATGCAGTGAGCAATTTTAGAAAATGGAACACATAGGATTCATTTTAGTTATGCAAAAGTAATTCAGCTTTAGGAAATCTAAGCAAGCAATTTAATACTTAGCAAGATACAGAAGGAAAAAGCCTATGATAATTCCAATGGAGAGCACAGCTAGCTAGCGTTTGAAACAATTAATAGCCTTTCCTAATGAAAGCAAAATCATTTTTCAAATTAGAGTGAGAAGGGTATTTTTCAATGCCATCTGCTTGGGAAATACAGGTAAGAGGTCTTAGGGATCGGGGTCCCCAAGACACCCCAACATAGCATCAGCACCCATAGCAAAAGCCTACCAAGCCAGTGGATGGGACCAGCTGGCAAAGGGCTGGTCTTAGTAGATACTTTCTTATTTCCTTACTCATCCTCTCTCTCCACATCCGAGTGGATCCGATGGGTTAAAACTGCCTGACCAGGTGGTGCAGAGAAGGTGGGCTTGTGGTTGGAACAGTAAAAAGCAGTGGGAGCAGAGCCTCTTGCTCCAGAGTCACGCTGGAGGGGGGAGAAGAATTACCTCAAAATCCAGTTTGGAGGCCCACATAGACCTTAGACTCCAAATTCTAACTCCTTGTTGGGCTTGTGCTGAGATTTAAAATGATGGTGGAGCTCTTCTCCGAGAAATAGAAAAGGCAGATGTGACTTTTCATAAAGAGGAAGGGTAAAGTCCTTTCTCTGAATACATTTTTAAAGATGGGGGTTTTAATTCTGTCATCAGTCTTAATTGGATTAGTAACATCTCAATTCTGTATAGATGTTTCAACTTGTTTTCACGTATGTGTGGAAAGATTGAGAAATAGGTAGGTAGAGAGAGACAGACAGACAGAGAGAGAAAGAGTGAGAGAGATAGATATAGACAGAGAGATGGAGAGAGACAGACAGACAGAGCTAGAGATGGACAGACAGACAGAGAGATGTTAGTTTGTTGGGATTCTGAGTAGCACTGAATTTCATTTATACACTGACCAGGGGTGAGGTGATATTTTCTATTAAGACTTTTCAATTCAGTTTTTCTTTTCATAATCTTCTGTTGTTTCCTAACTTCTTCACATGGACTATGCATAATTTTTGTTAGAATTTTCCCTAGGTAACTTTCATTCATGTTCGTGGTCACAAAAAGTGCTTTTTTTTTTTTTTTTTTTTCAGAATAGCCAAGTAAAATGTGCTATATATTACAACTTAACAAGAATTTGTATTGCTCTTTAGTGTAGCCACTGAGTTAATTTTACCATTAAAATAATTAAATGGTCTTTAAATATCTTTCCTCCTAATATTTATGCCTCTTATTCAATGAATTGTGAAAATATGTAGATTCAGTTTGTGGAATTATGGCTGTTTCTTTCCCTTGTCAGCTTTCAGAGAGTGTCTATGTGTGTGTTGGTAAATTAAAAGTGCCTTTTGGCATCTACTAGGGTGATCTATGACTCTTGTCCTAGGGTGCTGAATAGTGAATGTCATGAATTGTTCTCTTGGTGGGGAGCCGTAATTATACGGTGAGGGGCGGAAGGGAGAAACCTTAGCAATGCAGTATTCTTTCAACTAACTGAAAATTTTAACTTTACAAGGTTCCTGCTCTAAGCTTTATATAGCAGTCTATAAGCTTGGAAATATTATATGTAAACACATATCATGCAAGTGTACGTGTGATGTGCATATGCGACCTTCCTGTGGTCATAAATTACTCTCAGCCACTCCCAAGTCTGTCCTGGTCCCCACATAACTCATATGGAAATGTCTTTGGAGGGCACCTTTGAAAAATGAACCAAGGTGGTTGACGTCTGAGGTAATGGACACTGTGGCTGCTTCTGTCCACTCCATGGCCACATGGATCAATATCTCATCAGTGTCCCCACCCATGGTGACGCCTCTGCGGTTCTCCTCCGCTGCAGACAGGCTTGAGAAGTTCGGGTGGCTCTCCTGTTTGACTGTTTACTGATGCTGCTGACATCAAAAAATATGTATTAAAATCTCCTGCGTGAACGGAGATTTTGAGCTTCTCTTATAATTGGCCAGCATTCTTGCATGTTTTCAAGAATATTAGATGTGTAAAAAGTCATGCTTCATAGTTTCTTATCATTTTTGTTAGACACCTTATCTTGCTTAGAAATCCTCACTCTTCATACTCT